GATGGACGGGAAGCAGGCAGCCTAGTGAAGTTGCTGAGTTCAGTTTGGAAGTCAGATTTCTTCAGGTATGACTCCTAGGTCTCCTCTGATTAACTCATGAGTCACATAACCTTGGGCAAGCTACTTTGTGCTTTTCTTTTCACATCAGCACTTTCGTGAGAGAATTGTTTCTAAAATTAAATGAACTATCTAGTGCAATATATTTAGAACAAGGCCTAGTACACCAGAAACACTTATATCAACTACCTGTGTTCTTGATGGTGTTTTCATAGTGATTATCACCGCATTTTCCTATAGTTGACTAGGTTGAGCCTTTAGGAAGCTGTTTATAAGAATTAAGCCAATCTCTGGCCTAGGACCATGGGTCAGTCAGTATATTGCCTTCCCTGCACATGAGGACCTGTTATGATAGGAGCTCATATCCCCCAACCCATGTAAAAAAGTTGAACACAGTGCACACACCTGTAATCTCAGTGCTAAGGGGAGGTGGGCAGGAAGATCCCTGAAGTTTGCTGGCTGGGTGAACTGCTGAGTTCCAACTTCAGCAACAGACCCTGTTTTAATAAAATAAGGTAGAAAGCAAGACAGGAAGACATCCAACATCAACCCCTAGTCTCCATAAGTACCCACATGCACACACACGTACACACACATACATATATTACATGCACACCAGAATTAAGTCGATCTCTTAGAAACGTAAGCATTCCTCTGTATTAACATCCTCTCTAGAAAAAACTAAATATCAATGGGAATTTAGAGAACCACAATTGAGAAGACCTTGAAAATCTTTTTCAAAGGATGTTACAAAGGATGCTAATGAATTATTAAGAGCCTACTACATAGGAAAAAGCAAATAAGAAGGTAATTTTTGTTTGGCCCTCATAAAACAAGCAAACATGGACTCTGTGAGATATTAAAATGCAACAATGCCTCTCCTCATTAAGTGGACAGAATAATGGAATAATTTACAAACCTATACCCAGAAATAAAATTAAGGCTGTTTGTGAACATAAATAAAGGTAATGAATTAGTTCTATCAAAATACCAGCATACTGGATAACCTGAAAAATATCCCACTTCCAACAAGGTAACAAAAGAAGTCTAAGAATATCTGACCTTACTAGATCATTAAAAAAAAAAAAAAAAAACATGCCAAACTCAGCCCAAGGGTCCAGGCTGCCCAAAGACATCAGCGCAGAAACCACCATAGTGACTCCTGGGTGTGATTGACTGGGCTAGGGGCGACAGGGGGTGAAGACTGTCTCCTTTAGGTAGAGGGCAAGAGAGGAAGACATCTAGCGTCAGCCTCTAGTCTCCATACGTGCCCACAAGTGCACATACAATCACATGCTCACACACATACATGTACACCATGCACATGTCTCTTCTAAAGATGCCTGTGTTCCTGGGTTTCACAGCCTGTTCGTTCTTGAACAGAAGCTTCTTCCCCTGCCATCTTGCTGGCTTTCTCATTTGCATCCAACATATGGGCTTGTCAGCACTGGTGTCCCCTGAGATCAGTTCTTCCAAGGTAGACGAAAGCACAAAATGGACTTTTTCTTGGGGTGAGAAGCCAGAGATAATTCTTTGTTGAATTTGGTCGGATCAGATCTCAAAGGCTCATCTTTGCTGGACCAATTTAATAAGCTTGGCTTTTCTTCCTGGGCTTGCTTTTTCCCCAAGACACTTGGGGTCACTGAGGACATGTGTTCAGAACTGTTGAGCAAAATTTAGGATACATACTCTGGAGTGCTCTGATGTATTGTCTACCAGCAAGGTACTCTACCATCACATGTAAGAGTGATGTGACTGTCAGGTGCCCGATCTTCTCTTCATTAGCCAATACTGAGTGTCTGTGATTACATTATCTTTCTTCTTTTCCAAAACAAGCTACCACAAATGGGAAAGGGACATTTGAAGGAAGAAGGGCAATGCCTTGGTGATCTACATATTGACTGGCAAGCACTGCCCAAAGGCAGGTTTCCAGGTAGGTACTAATTTGTGGGAATCAAAATAAACATCACATTGGAGCTAATGGAAGCTTTCTGTCTGTTCTAACCACCTTACCTTCTATAGCAAGCCCATCAGTCTCCCTCTCTCATCTATGAAGGTGAAACATTGAAGAAACAGTGACCAATTAACACTAATCTAGTTAATTAAGTGCTCAACTACCAGCAAGTCTCAGCATATAGAATAGGAATAGTTAACGTTTCATTCAACAATGTGCATTGAGTGTCTACTATGGTCCTGCTATCCTGACAAGAATCAAAGTCAAGGGAAGAAGCACAAACCCCACTGACTGTGGAGTTCACACAGTGGCAGAGCACACAGCACAGCAGAGGGGCCATTGCAGACGCGTGTGGGAACGAGAGGCTGATTCTTGGCAGTGATTACGGGAGTGTGGCCAGAGTGGAGCGTAGATTGGAATTGTGACATTTAGATCCCAGGATGAGCTGCTGCTGGTGGGAACCAAGGAAACGTCCTAGTGGGATCCAACCTTGAGCCGCAACCAAATGCGAAAATGTTTATTTATTTACATCCCAAGGTCCCACGTCAGCAGCAGCAGCAGCAGAGTTACAACATGAAGGAATCTCAGCTCACCTCTGTTTTCCTTGGCAGCTGCTTCATTCAGTGCCGTGCAGCTGGGTAAGTGAACTGCAAATGGAATATTGGCAAAATCTCTCATGTTTGCTTCGAAACAACCAACGAGACACAGACATTTCAGGAAAACAAATCAAAGACATAAAGAAATCCCAGCAGCCTGCACACTCGAAACCCAAAACAGACATGGGAGAAGAATCGCTTTTTTTACTGATGGCAGTCCTGAGATGCCCAGCAGCTGAGGTCCTATCTCTGTCTGGGGGAAACACAGTCCCACTCCTTTCTTCAGGCACCTCTGTTCTTGCTCTTTTATCCAGCCAGCCAATGACGGCAGAGAAACTAGAAACAGAATAGAAGTCGAGTGACAGCTGATAAAGGCCATCCCAAACAGAACGCCATCACAAGCACACGGGACAGCCCAGTGGACTGACAGCTACTGTTACGTGAGAAGTCTGAGGCTGGTGTGTAAAAGATAAACCAAAGAAAGAGCTCTTCTCCACATTCACCCTTTCCTTTGCTCAAAAGACCGCGGAAGGTGGGGAGAGTGGCTATGTTCTCAAACCAAAGGCAGAGCAAGTCTGTAGGTTCTGATTAGTAGAAAGCATCAGCCTAACTCTCTTCCATGGATACTTGAGCATCCCTAGAGACCAGCAGACCCCAGAGTGGAGGAGACCATCAGAAGGAAAGCTAGCAGGCTGGGTGTGTGTGGCGTAAGAGTTGGTTTTATTTGACCATTTTTTGATCCTGAAAACCCTGCTCATCCCATGTAAGCCGGAATAAGAGGTTTTCTGCTCTTAGGGCCTTTGCCTAAAGGCACAGAAGATAGTGGGACATCTCTGACATGGCTCCCTGTATTTTCAGACCCAGAGACCTGCAGACAAACTCACACACTTAGCAGAAACCTCCCTTCTTCAGAGGACTGTTCTATATCAGATGTGAAATTACAAGTTCTGGGTCTTCCCTGGTGACTATGACTTAGGCAGGGAGCTATGACCAGGTCAAAGCATACCATGACAAGACAGAAGAAGCTACACAAGGAAATCAGCCTCTCTGGTGAGTCTACAGACAATGCACCAGACAAAGGACCCACTGCTTATCTGTCATTTGGGGATTTTTGTTTTGTTTTGTTATGCTTTGCTATATATTTTTTTTTCATTTCTACCCCACAGCAACCTACAAACTAAAATTTCCCTGTTTAAAAATGAGGAAATTTAGGCTTCAAGACATAAATCGCCTCATATTGGCAAGTTTCAAAGCAAGACTCAAGCCACAGTCAGACCTGCAAAAGCAGTGTTTCCGTTTCCATAATGGTCATTGAGAGGCTGCACCCAAGCAGCGAGCCTCATGCTATTCCTGGCAAGTTCTGTTTAGATAGGTGTGGATGAAGACGTCACAAAGGTGGGCAGAAGACATAGGTGGCTCAGGCTTTAACCTATTTGTTTACAAATCTTTCTCTGATCTCAGCCTTCACTAGAGTGAGCAAGCAGCCATCTGGGCCTCTCCAGTCTCAGGGACTCCAAGCGAAAATCCTACTTGGCCAGTAAATATCTACCGAGTTACTAATATTGACACAATCTATGTCTGGTAATGGGAGTGCACATGTAAATACGTCTCTGCTTTAAATAATCTTAAAACCCTAGGCAGGCAGGAAACCAATTCTCAGACAATTGAGTAAAGTTGATTAGTGCCACGGTCTAATGTTTCAGTGAATCCAGGGGATGCCCCCCTCATGGGAGTGGGAAAGGGAGAAGGATGTTATTAGCATTCCAGGAAGAAGGAGCAGCGGAAGCAGATCAAGACTACATAACACATCTTTGAACTTGAGTACTTTTCTGTAGGTACTGAGCACAAGTAGGGAAAGGCCTAAGACTAGAGGAGGCAACCAGTCAGTGTAAGGGACCATGCAAGAGGTTGTCTGGAGGTGGAAGGCAGCGCTCACACACTGGATCACTACACTTCCTGCCTTCTCTCTCCCCTACAGAGCTCTCTAGACACAAAATCTGCCATGTCCTTCTCAGCAATCAGGGCTCAGCCCAGGATTTTCTGCTTTGAGCGTCCCAAGCAGTTCTTCCTTGGTGCTCTTGGAACCCTGGGGCCACCTCTTCTGTAGAACCTAATTCTTCAGTCACTACTGTTGTCTGTCTGTTTTCTCCACTTCCCTGTGAACAAACCAGAAAAAAAAAAACCACCATGAATTTTTTGAAGCCAGAAGTCATATTTTTTTTTTACTTTTCATCTCCCAAACCCAAATCATATCTGGCCTGCGATAGGTAGGTTGTCTGTGTTTGTTGAATTAGTATCATGACAGCCCGTGACCTCATTAGCTTGCCACACACCTCTCTGAGGAAGTGACTAATTTCAAACCACCTTTACAGCAGATAAGGATTCTCACAGAGACCAAGACAGAAGCGCGTCTTGGCAAGGCAGCCGGGGAAGCACCAGCCATGCTTTGGAGATGTCCCGTCTTCTACGTTTTCATCTTCTGTACCGGTAAGGACAGATGCCTGGGCCTTTCGCTCATTGGGAAGTATGTCTCTAGGGTAATTTTCTGGGGCTGTAGTACGGCGAATTGATGCCTAGCATTCACCAAAACTCCATCCACTTGGGATGCAAAAAAGTTCCTTGCAAACTCTCTGACTTCAGATTCTTCCCTTCAGGGGTCTCTTTGGATGTAAGTTTGGAACAAGTTGACCAGATAACTGTTGTAGCTGGGGCCCGTGCCGTCTTCAACTGCACTGTAACGGGAGGAGACTTGAGGAAGTTTCGAATGAGCTGGTACAAGAGGAGTGAAGATAACGCTCTGATTTTGGTATACAAACTAAATAACAATTCTACTGAGGATTTCATGGGCAATTTCAAAGGGAAAATTGACATTTCAGAAAGTCGGTTTATACTTGACATTCAAAAGGCAACAACGAAAGACGCCGGGACTTATTACTGTGGGTCAGATATCCACAGTGCTGCAGTTACTGCTTCTAATCACTTCAAAACAAAGTCTAGGGTCGGTCAGACAAAGGCGGCAGACCCAATGAGCGACCATCTCAGGCTGAACTCAGCACCACATGTGAGATGGGACCTCCTGATTGCACTGACAGTCGCCTCTGATAAGAGGGACTGGAGCGGAGTTGGGGCAAAGCCTGATCTTTGAAGTTTCTACGCCAGTTGTGGCTAAGAGAAAGAATCACTAAGAGTTTATGTGGAGAGACCCACAGGCCCTCAACCTCAGCTTGCCAACATGGCTTCTTATCCAAACGGCAAGCTGATGAGCAGATTGTCTTCCATCATGAGTGCTGTAGCTCACCGGAAGCTTGCCTTGCAGAAACTAGCTAACACAAAGATTGTTTTCCATCAGCATTCTAACCAAAGTTTCCAAAGTGATCAACACTAGTTTTCACTCTTCCTCTGCAGGGTGAGTAGGGTTGTTTTCTGAAATGTTTTCGTGAGTTTCAGGTTAAAGGCTTTCTGTCTTGACTGGAGAAGAGCTCTGAGGCCCCAGGGGCACAGGCAGAGAGGGGTAATACACATACAGACCTCCTTCTCAGGTTCCTAGAAGAATCTTGTAAACAGTTAACAGTCACCATTATATGGACTGAGCTGACCAAGAATCAAATTAATAAAATACGTGGATTATCACCTACGAAGGGCTGAGTCTACAGGGTGTGAGGTCCAGAGGAGCCCAGTAAACAGGCTGGTGGGCAGGCACTTAAAGAGGCAAGCATTCGAGAATCATTGGGGACATATTCTAGCAGCCAGCATTTCTTCTGCTCAGAGGTCTTCTCCTTGTGTAAAGAGAAACTTAGCAAGCATACCTAGAAGAAATGACTGTGGAAATTCTAAGTAAGATCTTGAAATGCCTTCCAGTCAACATTCTTTACAATGCCACCTTCCCACACATGATTTAAAAAGCCTCTGATGGCGTTCATGGTATTAGGCTGGGTCATGAGAATAGAAAAGGGAAATTCTTATCTAGGTGCTTACAGTTTTCTTTAGTAGACCTGGCATCAGCAATTACAAAATTACAAAAGAACACAAAAATGCAAGGACCAAATATGAACAAATAATGATCCATGTATGAAAATGTCATTTTGAAGCCTGTTACTTAGTAAACTAACTTAAAATTGAAAATATCAAAATTTTAAAAATATAACACATACTAGCTATATAACAATGAATATTACTGATTTTATTTGCAATGCCCTAAGAGTTTGAGAAAGACCAATTTCTGTGTAAAAGGTTTTCCTAGAACTTTTAGGCTTGAAAGAGTCAAGATTTGAATAAATGAAGAAAGGTTTTTCCCAGTAGGCATACAAGTTATTATTGTAAATTACCTCAAAATTTAAAGGCTCAACCTCAAAACATTCATTTCATTGTGCCACATTCTCTGTGGGTCAGAAATGCAAGTATGGTAGCTGGCTCCTCTGGCTCCAGAGTCCTCATCAGGTTGCAGCTTGATTAGAAGATCTACCTTAAGCTCACCCACACAGTATCGATAGGTTCGGCTCTCATCAGGTTACAGCTTGATTAGATCTACCTTAAGCTCACCCACACGGTATCGATAGCTTGTGCTAGTTATTTCTGGTTGCTGTGATAAGACGCCAAGACCAGGACAGCATATAAAAGGAAGCATTTAATTTGACTCATAATTTCAGAGGATTAGAGTCCATGATGGCGGATCGAAAGAAAAACTGAGAGCTCACATCTTCATCCACAACCATGAGGCAGAGAGAGACAGGGAGGGAGAGAGAGAAGAGAGAGAACTAGGAATTGCATAAGTCTTTTGAAACCTTAAATCCCTTCCCTAGGACCTCTTCCAAGGTCATACTTCCTAATCCTTCCCCACTAACTGGTGACCAAATATTCACATACATGAGCCTATTGGGCCATTCTCATTCAAACCATCACACAACCTGAGTCCTCAACAGGGGTATCTCCATAAAGCTCTTTTTTTTTTAATTAATGAAATCTTTTCATTTGCTTACATACCAACCACAGTTTTCCCTCCTCCCTCTCCTCTCATTCTCTACCCCCTCCCACCTCCCATCTACCCCCTTCCCATATACCCCTCTCCCCAACCACCCTTCTGTCTCCATTCAGAAAGCGGCAGGCCTCCCATGAGTGTCAACAAAGGATGGCACATCAAGATGAGGCAGGACCAAGCTCCTCCCCCTGCATCAAGGCTGGGCATGGCGACCCAGTATGAGGACTAAGGCCAGGACTCTGCAGAAGGAGTTGTCTGCATTAGAAGTCTTTCCACAGTCTATCTGGGAAGGGACATTCCACCACTCCCTTAACAGCGGTGAGTGGGTAAGTGAAGCTGCATTGAAGAAGAAGGGCTACATCTGCGTATGAATACCAAAAACAGCTCACCTTAGCCCACCTACAGTAAGGGACTGGAGCAGAGAGCATGGAAAGAAAAGTCTAAAAGTTGGTATAACCGACTTGTTGAAATGAAAGATCTCTGGCTATGAGGCAAGGAGATGTGAGTTTATCTTACAGTAGACCAAGACGTTGTTGCACATATAAAACACCTTGGGGAAACTGTTTCAAATATACGTTCTTGAGCTTGATGTAGTGTTTCTAATTCTGGCTTCCCAGGGAAAGGACCACAATCAATTAACTACTTGGCTATGTTTTTGAGGCAAGTTGCCCATATGCTGCCTGGCCCAGCCTTTAACTCATCCTGATGCTCCTTCTTAACTTCTCAAGCTCTGGGATTATCAACACGTACCTCTATGCTTGAAAAGAGTATCTTTTCACAGAAAGTGCCCAAGGTGACTTTGATGCAGGTAATCCAAAGGCCTGCTGTGAGAGCCCCTGAGTGATCAGACAAGGAAGAGCTGGGGTTTTGTTTGTTTAGTACAGTGCCTGGGATTGAACCCAGGGCCTTGCTTCTTGTCTCTTGCCCTGATTCAGAGAAACAGCCAGCAGCTGTGGTCACTTTACCTCCAGAGCAATGATTCTCACTCAATTCCATCCTAATATTTGAATCACCTGGGGGAAATTCTTTGAGACTATCAGTGTCTGGTATATATTTCCAGAGATTTTGATTTAACCAGCATATGTGTTCTGGCTTCCAGAATAACTCAGGTAACTCCTTGCTTCCTGTCCTCTAAGACTGAAAACGACTGGTCTAAGCAAACTCTTCTCGGCATCCTCCAAACTGATGTCATCAGTATTGCCTAGTTGTTTTTCCAATTGAGAAATCCTACATATCACCCTGTATCTACTAAATCAGAATCAGAATCTGTGTTTTAACAAGGTCCCTGGCCGGGCGGTGGTGGCGCACGCCTTTAATCCCAGCACTCGGGAGGCAGAGGCAGGCAGATCTCTGGGAGTTCCAGGCCAGCCTGGTCTATAAGAGCTAGTTCCAGGACAGGCACCAAAGCTACAGAGAAACCCTGTCTCGAAAAAAAAAAAAAAAACAAGGTCCCTGAACAAGTTATATTTGACCATATATAATTCATAGATCATCCACTGAAATCCAGCCTCTCCTCCCACCAGCTTAAGATCAAGTTGGAAATAAAACACGAGTCTTCAGTGCACACTTACTTCTCATTACAAGAAGAGCAGTAGAGGACAGGAGGAGAGGGCTCACCCATTCCCTCACAGCAGTGGTTCTCAACCTTCCGAATGCTGCTGCCCTTTAACACAGCTCCTTATGCTGCAGTGACCCCCAACCGTAAACCTTTTTTCAGTGCTACTTCATAGCTGTAGTTTTGCTACTGTTATGAATTATAATGTAAGTATTTGTGGAGCCAGAGATTTGTCCAAGGGGTCACGGCTCACAGGCTGAGAACCACTGCTTTACAGGCTGCATGATGTAGGAGTGTCATCTGTCTATGTGTTACTTTCATTGGAGGAGGAAGGAGGAGGAATGAGAGAGAGAGAAGAAAGGAGAAAGAAGAGATTTAAAGGTAAAGGCGTAGAGCAGTTCCCAACCTACAAGTCGGAAGCCTTCATATGACACCCAAGCCTCATACTTAGGTGGAGACATGCCCACTGAAGGCCTCACCTAGTGTGAACAACGAAAGATTTCTGCAAAAATCCTGAAGCCAAATGAATGACACAAAAATTGTCTATTAATTTTATATTACCCACACTCTTCCCAACTCTTCCAATAAAAGCAATTGATACCAAACCAGTTTGTATAATTGTTATTTTCATTCTTCTTTTGTAATGTTTATGCATCATGGAAAGAACTTGGTTGACCAGTGTTCACTGAAAGGAAATCTCTCTCTAAAAAAAAAAAAAAAAAGCCTGAGTTCAATTCGTAGGCACAGGAATAGACACTGCTTCCTCTGGACTCCCAAGCAGGGTTGTTTGCAGGCCTGCTTTGTGGTTGGGAATAAAAAAATTCAATATCAGACAAAATATGTCTTACACCCAGGAACAGGGCCATCATCTAGTTACAGTGACAGAAGGTCACCCAACACTGCAGAGCCACCCCTAAGGATGAGAGGCAAGAGCAAAGAGGGAAACTGACAACATGTGCCTCAGTTCAGTTTCTTCCTCTGCCCCAGCTGAGGCCAAGGCTCCACACAGTCAAGAAAGAAAAGATGCTTCTACCATACAACATGTCCCCTCGTCCAAGGGTGTCTCAGCCTTGAGGAATGCACTAGTTGTGGCATTATTAAAAGTGCCTAAGAAATATTTGTCTACAGTCCAAATAAAGAAATCAATCTGAACAACTCCAAACTGTGACCTTCATTTAGAACAATTAATGTTTTAAATAAGAAATTAAAAATCATTGAATTTTAAAGCCAGAAGGAATGTAAAAGGTCAAAAAGGAAGTCCTCCATTAATATACATGTTCATCAAATATTGATCGAATAAATGATAACCCATTCTCCATTCAAATATTTTCAATGACTATTTTCATTTTAAAAAATAAAATTCCTCTAGGAGGTCAAGGAAAGGGAAAATATGATCAAAATAAATTGGGTTTTCTTGTTGTTTAGTTATTTTTATTTTTGAGACTATAATATAATTATATCATTTTCGTCTTCCCTTTCTCCCCTCTAAACCCTCCCATATTCTCCTCATTCTCTTTCAAATTTATGGCCTCTTTTTTCACTAATTGCTCTTACACCCATATATGTATGTGTAGGTACATAAATATATTCCTAAATAAAACCTGCTGTGTCTGAATAATGTTTCTTGTGTGAGTGTTGTCAGAGCTGACCATTTGGGATTGGGGAATCAATTGGTGTGTGCTTCCCTAGGGAAGACTATTTCTCTCATTCTCAGAATTCCATAGTTACCTGTAGTTCTTGTGGGCGTTCTCCCATTCACTTTGGCATGTCTGTTAACGTCACCTTTGCTCAGCTGGTGTTTAGGCAGCCTATGGCCTGTTGATTAAACTATCTAGCCTCTAGTACCAGAGTGAGCTTATGAATGCAAATATGAGCGTGTCATGTCCCTCACTGGAAATTCTCCTGCAACTTCTCATTACTTACAGGAAGAGCTGAAGCCTTCAAAGTCCCTGAGACTGAGCAGTCTGACCCCTCACCTCCCTGTGCAGCTCTGCTCTACCTTCTCTCCCTTACTGTGCTTCGGTCTAATATGTCTTCCTGATGTTGCTAGAGGGCCCAAGCATGTGCTACCCCATCCCAGGGCTTTCTCTCTCCTCGTCTGACACTTGCTTCTCAGGGGCATCTTGAGCTCAATGGCAAATTCAGACTGTTTCCTCCCTAGTGCTTTCATATTGTAACCTACGAGGGTATTCCATTAATTTCATTGTGCCTATTTTCTCTAGATTGTAAGTTCCAAGAGAATTAGGACCAAATTTGATTTTGCTTCTCATTGGACCTGAAAATTACATAAATGTATCTGTATAAAAAATGGATTCATCTTTCAGAATTTGGCCTTCGTTGTAGACTCTGGGATGCAGTAAGGTCTTGTTTTAGTGATCTTAGAGACTCTGAGATGGAATCTAAAGGTTTTCAGAGGCCACTGATTCCTACCCATTGGGTGACATCCTTAAGAGCACATTCTGGGCACATAGGATAAGAGCAGGGCGCATGGTCCTCCATAGGTCTAAGATGTCTCCGTGCTGCAGGTAAGTAAAACTTTCCCAGGAAGTCCAGTGGCTCTGTGGAAACCACAGGAGTCTAATATGATTGTTATCTTTCTCAGTGACCCCTAACTGGAATAAACATAGCCTTTTGGTTATTTTTCTCCACTTGGCTATTTTCAGAAGCCATATTATTAAAATGCACAAGCCTGTGATTACAGAGAGGCAGAGCCTCATCCCTCAAACATGCACTGAGCCAGCACAATGCTCCTGCTGCTGGGTCACACACTGAGCTGTAAAACAGTCAAAGCTGAATTCCTGTCCTCCAAACACAACCTTGGTAACAGGGCAAGGAACAACAGCTGGGAAAGTGAAATGAGTTACGCACAAGGCCAACAGGTCTATACAGCCCTCTAAAGGAAGTACCTGCTCTTGCAGAGATTCGGCTCCATATCACGAACCTGCAAATGCTATTGGATAAATTACAAATACCTGAAACTAGTTCGTATTTCTCTGTTCTCTGTAACAGTTGTATCCTGCAATCTGTACTGTGCCAAATGCTGTGCCCAGTGTTGGGTATATAATGTGAGCAAGGCAGACATGGGTTCTTCCCACATGACTTTGTTTAAAATAAAATAAAACTGGCCCAAGGCCAACACATGACTCATACGTAGCTGACTGTCCTACCACTTCACGGCTGTGGGACATCTGCCCCTCCTGGAAATGCTTCCTGAGCTTAGGTTCCGAGATGCCGCACTTTGTGGATTATTCCATCGTAGGCCCCTCGTTGCCAGTTCCCTTCGGTGGCTTTTACTCCTCTCTGGAGGTCTAGAGTCCCAGGGCTCCTACTGGGCCCCCTACTCTGTCTCTTCCTGAGTAATCCCATTCATTCTCACAGCATTAAATTTCACAGATGTGCTCATGGCTCATGAATTTATATTCCCAATGTAAAACTCTCTTCTAAGGATAGCATTTGCCCTCAACAGTACCACCTAAGTACCTGCCTGCCTTGGCTTATTTCACATGTTTTCTCTCTTGCCGTGATTGTTCAGCTATTTCCTTCGTCTGCCCCGCCCCCAATTTATAAACCCCTCAGGGCAGGACGCCTTGGTCTTCCATCTTCAGTTTCCACAGTGCCTAAAGTAAGCGCTTGAAATATACATATTGAGTGTACTGTCTGAACTGAACTTCTGCCTTAGGGATCATCGACACACAGGCAACACAAACGAGAATGTTTTATTTAAAGAAATAATGCCGCATTCTTGTGTGTTTCTAAATGAGCAGTATCAAATGAGACAGCACATTGGCGTGTGAATGCTTGACTTTAGAACGCTAAATTGAGCTAACATCATCCCCTGTGGGTATGGAAAGGGCTGCATGGCTTTCCTGAACCACCTACTCTCCTGCACCCCAGCTACTGAACTAGCATGGAACAAGAAATGACCCACCTACTCTCCTGCACCCCAGCTGCTGAACTAGCATGGAACAAGAGAGATGAACCACCTTCTCCCCTGCACTCCAGCCCCTGAGCTGACATGGAACAAAAGATGACCCACCTACTCTCCTGCACCCCAGCCCCTGAGCTGACATGGAACAAGAAATGACCCACCTTCTCTCCTGCACCCAGCTCCTGGGCTGGCATGGAGCAACAGAGATGACCCGCATTCTTGCCTGCACCCCACCTCTGTGACCCACCTTCTCTCCTGCACCCCAGCTCCTGAGCTGGCGTGGAGCAAGAGATGACCGACCTACTCCTTGCCACAGTCCATTCACGTCTACTCTCTACTCCAACATGAAAAGACAGAAGGAAACAACATTGGGTTCTCTTAAATCCCTCCTGCTTCACCAGGGCAGCAATTCAATTCAACCACACAATGCTGCTTCCTGATTCAGACCTGAGGCCACAGAAATAAGTTAAAGAGAAAAACTCCCTGGATCAGGAGGGAAAGAGTCTCCCAGTGCTTCCAGTAACAGCACATGGCAACCTCACTTTTTCTGAATTCTAATCCCATCCTCCCACGTCCTCTTGTACTAATCACAGCCAGTTAATTCTCAGATGCCCTGACAGCCCAAGTTCAACTGGGTTGTCCAGATACAAACTAAGGACCTCTGTACACTTGATCCCTCCATATGAATGGAGGTCCCTGATTGCCAGCTGAGAAGTCTCTGGTTCATGTTTTCCTTTGAACAGCTATGTGTTATTGGCTAATTTTTTCACCTTGGTTGCCGTAAAAAAGGTTTGTCTTAAGCTTCTATGTGTTTGGAACTCAGGGTTTAATCTCTATTAGCATAGAGGACATTTGCCTGGTCGTATCTCAATTGCAAAAATAAACGTTTCTTGGCTGCAATAGCATTTTGCATTTTATTTTCTTCTCCACATATGTCCCTTCTCTACCTAGCCCTAGATAAACAGTTTGTGCTATAATATTTATTAGCAATGAGGAGTCCTGTGGGCCAACAGTGGTGTTGTGATGGGCCCAGCAGAGTCCCCACCCATTCTGCAGGTCAGCACCGACACAGTAATTCATGAATCAAGGCAACAGTAACAGTGGTGTCCTACAGCTGTGATTCTCAGTGCACCCTCTGGGTCATGGTTCTGGAAACTGAGTCGACACTTTTTAAAATAAGGTATCCTGAAAGAAACCATTGTCATCTGAGGTTTTAAAGTCCTTTGTCCTTGTGCTTTTCTGGTCTATTTCTTTGCATGGATCACCCCCTATGCACCCCAAACTTCCCATTGCAGCCTGGACACTGCCACCGGGGAGACGGACGCTGTGCTCTTTGTCACGGATTCTGGTTCCCCTCCCAGTGTTGGTTCAGTTTGTTGGATGCCGAGGTTGTCCACCAGGCAAAGGCAGTCTTGAGGTATTTCCTTTGTCCTCTTCTGGTAGCTTCCCAGAGTCACTTCTCGGTCAAGTGAGTACACGCATTGACTCTCAGATGACTTTGCAATTAGAGCCCTGCCAACAGGATAGCTTGTATTCCCATTCACTAATCTTTCCATTCACTCATACTGAGCATTCATTACACAGCTCAATGTTAAGAGCCCTCTAACTTGTCATGTGCATGATGTATATAACAGCACATGCATTCAAACTAGGTGCCAGCACAGTGCACAGCACAGCACAGCACAGCAGAGCACAGCACAGCACAGCAGAGCACAGCACAGCACAGCAGAGCACAGCACAGCACAGCAGTGCACAGCACAGCAGAGCACAGCACAGCAGAGCACAGCAGAGCACAGCACAGCAGAGCACAGCAGAGCACAGCAGTGCACAGCACAGCAGTGCACGGCACAGCAGAGCACAGCACAGCAGTGCATAGCACAGCAGAGCACAGCAGTGCACAGCACAGCAGTGCACAGCACAGCAGAGCACAGCACAGCAGAGCACAGCAGTGCACAGCACAGCAGTGCACAGCACAGCAGAGCACAGCACAGCAGAGCACAGCACAGCAGAGCACAGCACAGCACAGCACAGCACAGCACAGCACAGCACAGCACAGCACAGCACAGCACAGCAGAGCACAGCACAGCAGAGCACAGCACAGCAGAGCACAGCACAGCAGAGCACAGCACAGCACAGCACAGCACAGCAGAGCACAGCACAGCAGAGCACAGCACAGCAGAGCACAGCACAGCAGAGCACAGCACAGCAGAGCACAGCACAGCAGAGCACAGCACAGCAGAGCACAGCACAGCAGAGCACAGCACAGCAGAGCACAGCACAGCAGAGCACAGCACAGCAGAGCACAGCACAGCAGAGCACAGCACAGCAGAGCACAGCACAGCAGAGCACAGCACAGCAGAGCACAGCACAGCAGAGCACAGCACAGCAGAGCACAGCACAGCAGAGCACAGCACAGCAGAGCACAGCACAGCAGAGCACAGCACAGCAGAGCACAGCACAGCAGAGCACAGCACAGCAGAGCACAGCACAGCAGAGCACAGCACAGCAGAGCACAGCACAGCAGTGCACAGCACAGCAGAGCACAGCACAGCAGAGCACAGCACAGCAGAGCACAGCACAGCACAGCACAGCACAGCAGAGCACAGCACAGCAGAGCACAGCACAGCAGAGCACAGCACAGCAGAGCACAGCACAGCAGAGCACAGCACAGCAGAGCACAGCACAGCAGAGCACAGCACAGCAGAGCACAGCACAGCAGAGCACAGCACAGCAGAGCACAGCACAGCAGAGCACAGCACAGCAGAGCACAGCACAGCAGAGCACAGCACAGCAGAGCACAGCACAGCAGAGCACAGCACAGCAGAGCACAGCACAGCAGAGCACAGCACAGCAGAGCACAGCACAGCAGAGCACAGCACAGCAGAGCACAGCACAGCAGAGCACAGCACAGCAGAGCACAGCAGAGCACAGCACAGCAGAGCACAGCACAGCAGAGCACAGCACAGCAGAGCACAGCACAGCAGAGCACAGCACAGCAGAGCACAGCACAGCAGAGCACAGCACAGCAGAGCACAGCACAGCAGAGCACAGCACAGCAGAGCACAGCACAGCAGAGCACAGCACAGCAGAGCACAGCACAGCAGAGCACAGCACAGCAGAGCACAGCACAGCAGAGCACAGCACAGCAGAGCACAGCACAGCAGAGCACAGCACAGCAGAGCACAGCACAGCAGAGCACAGCACAGCAGAGCACAGCACAGCAGAGCACAGCACAGCAGAGCACAGCACAGCAGAGCACAGCACAGCAGAGCACAGCACAGCACAGCACAGCAGAGCACAGCACAGCACAGCACAGCACAGCACAGCAGAGCACAGCAGAGCACAGCACAGCAGAGCACAGCACAGCAGAGCACAGCACAGCAGAGCACAGCAGAGCACAGCACAGCAGAGCACAGCACAGCAGAGCACAGCAGTGCACAGCACAGCACAGCACAGCACAGCAGAGCACAGCACAGCAGAGCACAGCACAGCAGAGCACAGCAGAGCACAGCACAGCAGAGCACAGCACAGCAGAGCACAGCACAGCAGAGCACAGCAGAGCACAGCACAGCAGAGCACAGCACAGCAGAGCACAGCAGTGCACAGCACAGCAGAGCACAGCACAGCAGAGCACAGCACAGCAGTGCATAGCACAGCAGAGCACAGCAGTGCACAGCACAGCAGTGCACAGCACAGCAGAGCACAGCACAGCAGTGCACAGCACAGCAGAGCACAGCACAGCAGAGCACAGCACAGCAGAGCACAGCACAGCAGAGCACAGCACAGCAGAGCACAGCACAGCAGAGCACAGCACAGCAGAGCACAGCACAGCAGAGCACAGCACAGCAGAGCACAGCACAGCAGAGCACAGCACAGCAGAGCACAGCACAGCAGAGCACAGCAGTGCACAGCACAGCAGAGCACAGCACAGCAGAGCACAGCACAGCAGTGCATAGCACAGCAGAGCACAGCAGAGCACAGCACAGCAGTGCACAGCACAGCAGAGCACAGCACAGCAGTGCACAGCACAGCAGAGCACAGCACAGCAGAGCACAGCACAGCAGAGCACAGCAGAGCACAGCACAGCAGTGCACAGCACAGCAGAGCACAGCACAGCAGAGCACAGCACAGCACAGCACAGCAGAGCACAGCAGAGCACAGCACAGCACAGCACAGCAGAGCACAGCAGAGCACAGCAGAGCACAGCACAGCAGAGCACAGCACAGCAGAGCACAGCACAGCAGAGCACAGCAGTGCACAGCACAGCAGAGCACAGCACAGCAGAGCACAGCAGTGCACAGCACACAGTGCAGTGGTAGCTGGAAAACAAACTCTCTTCGCTATGGCATCTCTATTGTGCTGAATGTTACAAGTTGTGTAAACCTGTCATTGCCCCCGAACCCATCTCTACCTACCATCAAAATTCCTTACAAATCCCACAGACCCTATCAGAGCACCTGGGGTACACAGGCCACAGCAGCGGGACAGTGGCCCATGTGGAGTGCTTGAAGCTTTGAGACATGACAAGGACTCAGGGTGGTAATGATCTAAGCTGTTGTAGTCCAAGTTGCCACTTGAATACCAACTTCCCCGCTTACTCTGTTTGGAAACTCTCTTCACCAAGTCCCAAGGCTACCCTCGGAGGCACCGTTTTATTTTACGACACGTCTGTCTTCACAAAAGTCCCCCCAGGGATTTTGTGCTCTTCTCCCTTTATGTCCTCAGTTAGCTTGAACTCCATCTTGCCGTTCTTTCAGCCTCACTCCTTTTTCCCTTCCAATCTGTAATAAAACTAATTGAAAACTACTAGGTATACTTAGCTCAGACAGAGCCCAGATCTGGGCATGCTGTGGAACCATAAGCGACACAAATGTTTGTTGGTGGCTGTGGAAACCACGGGCACGAAGGGTCAGAACCTCCAAGACCTGGTCCAAGGACAAGAGGACAAGTCCTTTTCCATCAGCCTTCCCAATCCACCACCTGAAGCACTACCCAGAAGGCAGGGTCACCCCATTCCCTCCCGTGTGTGGCAAATGGGGTGGTGGCATTCCCACAGAGGCTCCTACACCTTTCTCCTTTCCCTTTGATTGAAAAATAAGGAGTTGGTACTTGCTTCCTGAGGGAAGATGAAGTGGAGCGTTTCCCCAGGGCTCTGAGGGAGCACAGCGGTGTCATCAGCCTGTGCACAACAGGACGACTAGAGGTGAAGGATGCACGGTCTATACAGCTCGTCTCTGTCCACAGCTGTATAATTCTAGTTACAGAATGCGAGCTTCCTAAAGCGGCCACCTTCTCCTTTTATTCGTCTCGCCACCAGAGGAGAGAGAAAGCACTCATGGTGGTTGGTGCGGATTGTCAACTTGCACAATCTAGTGTCACCTGGGAGGAGGGCCTCTGGGTGTACCTGTGGAGGATCTATCTTGATTGTATTCATTAAAGTGGGAAGACCCATCCACCATGGGTGGCACCATTCCCTGGGCAGGAGAGCCTAGACTGTATGGAATGGAGGAAGGGAACTGGGCAGCATGGCACAGACCTTCATCATCTCTGCTTCCTGTTCATGGACAGGATGTGACCAGCTGCTTCAAGGTTCTGATGCCTCGACTTCCCAACCTTGAGCTGTGAGCTTTTCCTCTGATGCAAAGAACACTTCAAAGAGGAAAGGCCTATTAGGTTCTCCAGAAATCAGTAGCCCTGTGTATCTAAACCAAGTTTTTCCAGCTTTTACCTCTCTTTTGGGATATTATTGGACAGAAGTACAAAATCACGTTTTGTTTAGTCGTGATAACTGGCCTTCAATCAATAAAAACGTTTCACACGAGAGCCTCTAGTGTTGTTACTCTGGGTTCTGTCTGAAGTTCCCCTGGTTCCTCGGGCTTCCAGAAAGCAGGGAAAACAAAGAGGGTTTCTAGAGGCAGAAAGAACTCCTCATTCCAGGCTGGACAAGTGGCTCAGCTGCTAAGAGCACTGGCTGCTCTTCCAGAGGACTCTAGTACGACTCCCGGCATCCACACGGTAGTTGGTCGTCTGTAACTCCAGTTCAAAGGGACCCAATGCCTTCTTTGTGCTTCCATGGGCGCTGCATGCACATGGTGCACAGACATTTCTACGGACAAAACACCCGCATACATAGAATGAATAGTTTATTTTAAAAAAAAAAAAAAAGAAAGAACTTCCTGACTACCCTAAATGTCATCATAGAACCTACATCCAGTAACTGATGGAAGCAGATGCAGTGATCCACAGCCAAGCACTGGGCTGAGCTCCTGGAGTTCAGCTGAAGAGAGGGAGGAGGGATCATATGAACCAGGGGGGTAAAGAACATGAACCACAGCGACAGCTGACCCAAGCTAATGGAAGCTCACAGACTATGAACTGACGGTTGGGGGACCTGCGTAGGACAGAACTAGAGCACATTCTATGCCACTCGGATAGAAAATGAAGTTCTTTTTGTTTATTTAATTTTTTCCATTTTACATACCAAGCCCAGTTCCCCCTCCCCTTCTCTTGCTTCCCCCCCTCATCCCACCCTCCATCCACTCCTTAGAGAGGTCAAGGCTTCCCTTGGGGTATCAACAAAATTTGACATACCAGGTAAAGGCAAGACCAGGCCCTCCCCTGTCACTGAATGTGAGTGACAGTTATGTGGCTTGGTCTGTTAGGGAGGGGGCTGGCAGTGGGACCAGGACTTATCTTTATCATGAACTGGCTTTTGGAGCCCATTCCCTATTGTGGGATACCTTGCTCAGCCTTGATGCAGTGGGGAGGGCCTGGTCCTGCCTCAACTTGGTATGTCAGATTTTGCTGACACCCCAAGGGAGACCTTGCCCTCTCTAAGGATTGGATTGGGGGGAGGGCAGAATGAAGAGAGGTGGGGATGTGAGAGAGGGAACTGAGGTTGGCATGTAAAATGAAAAAATATTAAATAAACAAAAAGAACTTCACATTCTATCCAAACAGCATAAAATTGACATCCTATGACATAGAATCTTCTCTATGAAATCAGAAATTGCAGGAAAGCAGAAAGTAATCTGCCAGTCTCTTGAAGGAAATGTGTTTACCTCAAGAGCCGAACACATCACTCTTTATGCAAATCTCCTGGGATACTGTGGTCTGCTAAAAGTCAGGAATTACAAGCTTGCTTGTGTGGATACTCAAGGTCTTCTTGTGGGTTTCACCTTTAAAAGTCCTCCCTCACCCCTCTTCTCATGGCAATTCGAGTTTGGCTCAGAGATTGTTATCCTGCTGGCAATAATTAATAAATCTTTTAATTATAATTGAATTGAGCCTGTGGTCTTTCCCCCAGGAGCAGGAACTCCATAGCACACACACACACACACACACACACACACACACACACACTTATATAGATATATATGTAGAATACATTTAGTGTCACACATATGTATATGTGTTTAGAGTTGAACCCAGGACCGGATAACCTATCTGAGAGCTTGTCTCTGGAGAAAGCTGATTTTCCCTCCCTCAACAGCTATTAATTAGTTGGTTGTATCTCTTCATCTAGGGCTGGAACTTTGTGAAATTTTCCTCATGCACGTTGGCACATCAACTGGTATTGTCATTACACAGGTCTTATTTAGGTAACCATATTGCTTATTGTCTATATTTCATGGGTGCATCGTGGAAAGCTGTTTTTAAGATTTATTTTTGAGAGTGCAGTGCTCACGGAGGCCAGAAGAGGGCGTCAAATCCCCTGGAGCTGGAGATTCAGGTGATTGTGAACCACCCCAGGTGGGTGCTGACAACTGAACTCCGGTCATTTGGGAGAAGAGGAAATGCTCTTAATCACAGAGCCATCTACCCAGCCTCTGGAAGGGATTTTTTAAAATCTCGGATTCCCAGAACCTGCCCTAGACTGACGAAGGAGACTCCAGGGAGGTAACAGCCAGGCTTTGGTAACTCCTAAGATTCCCAGGTGTCAGATCATGGGTGGTTTGTGCTGATGGCCTCCTCAGCTTCCCTCCACTTTCCTATTGTTGACCAAGCTGCCCTAGTCCCTTTCATATCTAGTTTGCTCTACTTCATCCTTCAGAGGATAATTCTACAGCACTCCACTAAGTCTTCTTGCACTTTAGGTTTGATTTTCCTCTTTCAATCTCCATGTCCATTCTGCTGAGTCATCTTTCATTACGTTTATTTGGTTCTGTATTTTCCTTAGTTCTTAACAACAGTTACAGGGCACCTGATATGGGCAGAATAGTACAGTAAGCACTTAGCTGCTGCTAAAAACAAAACTAATGCAATAACACACTCTGTTAAGGTCCATGCTACAGCTATGGGTTTTTGTCTGATAGATAATTGGCATTTTGGCATAATTTATTTCTCTCCCAAGGAAACATCTGCCTTGGTGTATAAATAATAAATCTAAAATAAATAGATAAATTGTGGTAAAATATTAAAGAAGTACCCACAAATAGAGGCCAAAGAATCACTAACCGCAGTCAGAAACTGAACGTCAACATCTCCTCTAACCAATTCAGCCTTATTCTATGAAGAAGATGCTCAGTTTGCAGCAGACAGGAAAAGACCCAGACTGTACAGACAGTGAGGTTATTTCTGGGGACACAATACCTGCTGACTCAAGCTATTTTCTCTTCATTTGTGCAATGACTATTCTTGGTTATCAACTTGACTACATCTGGAATTAACTAAGATCCACATATGGAGGGCACATCTGTGAGGGATTTTTGCTTAATTTAAAGTAGGAAGATCCACTCCTAATCTGGATCTTTGAGATAGAAAGACATGCCTTGGATCCAGACCGCTTGAAGTGGGAAAAGACATGCCTTTAATCTGGGATCCTGAGTTGGGAAGACACACCTCTAAACCAGATCATTTGAACTTAGAAAATCTACCTCTAATCTGGGTCACATCTGCTGGAAGCCTAAATAAAGACATACAATCATATATAGCTTATCATATATCTTTATATANAATAAATAAATAAATAAATAAATAAATAAATAAATAAATAAATGAAAAACAAAAAACCCCAAATACTTTAAGTATATCACATTCCTTGGCCACATATATTTACAATATATTGATATTTCATACTATGTTATATTACATATCCAGAAAGCGTACACTATATATATTTGCACACATACATCCACCGTTCCTCCCTGCCATTTCCCTATCCTGTACTGCACACGCCTGGAAATAACCCTCACATCCCATAAGACCTCTTTTATATCATTGTTTCATCCGCAGCTTTCCCCAGCTCCGTGGTTGCTTCTCCAGCCTCCTTGCTGACTGTGTGTGTTATTCACCCTCCGTGTCCATGCCCTGTTTACAGACCTGCCTTCCTCTTCAGATTGAGAGTGCCCCACATCAAGTTTGGAGAGATTCTGTGTACCCGAATAAACAGTAAGTAAACTAAACCCATTTTTAGAATGTGCATTTCCATCTTAGTTTTTCAAAATGTTGCTTCATGCAAACTTTGTTACCAGATAACAATCTCCACTGAGCACCCTCCTGGGACTTCTCTTTCAGCCCACAGAGAGCGATGATGGAATGAATGTTTGGGTCCTTTTACGATAACCAGAACAATACCCCTAATTTATCATCTCCTGTTTTTTATATACCACAAAATCAATTAACCATAGAGTCCCAGGGCCAGAGGTCTTTTTGAACTGGACATTGTACCAAGGGGATAACTGAGGCCCGAAGAAGTGAAACTGCACCCCCAAGGCTACCACCTTGGGAATCAGTAACACAACTCCCAAGTCTGTAGCTTACCATCTCACTAAACATTTTCACAGATATGTAGATGACTTCTCCCCCTACACACACAAGCCTTGCAAACACTGATTCACTTTGACTGTGAGTAACCATCAGTAAACACAAACAGTTTTGGATACTAATCTGCAAAACAGCCGACCACACACGACAACCGATACACCCTTGCTACTACTGGAACAAAACGACTGGTGCGTGAACCAGTGTCCTCCGGAATCGGTTGGTTCCTGAGCTTTGTTTCTGTTGTACGTGTGTATGCGCATGATGCCTTCTTCCCCGATTCTTATTAGTGTCATACAAAAAAAAAAAAAAAAAAGGAACTTGAAAATCTGGAGGCTTCTATTGTTGTGCGCACACGTGACTGTTATCTAAATGACATTGAAATTGTTCAGACGGTGAGTGGAAGGCAAGTGTGCCTGTACCTATTGCATTACGTAGGGAAACCAACGTAGGCTGCTTTGCGTGTCACCAAATGCCCCGCATGTGACATACAGAGAGTGACATAATCCAAATAGTCGACTAAAGCAGCCCACAGTAACAAATGCATCATTTCTGAAGAGGAAGAGCGAGCAGATGGCTCAGCAAACAATTGTAGAACAGCCAGCTTCCCCCTCCAAAACACCTCCAAAACCAAATTGCCTCCCAGTGTCTCATCTTAGGCCCCAGGGAAACTCAGAGACAGAGAACTCAAGCACCGCGTTAGCGGCAGTGTTGGGAGGAGCCCTCAGCCCGTGGTGCCCTGGGCTTCAGCCCAAAGGACCTGAGCTCACGGCAAGGTTCTTTCTTCCCTTCTACGTCACCTGAAGCAAGCTACAGAATTTCCTTATCCACAACATAGAATTAACACCACTCGGGAACGCAAGCTATCAGAACAACCCTGCTTAAGGACCTGAAAAGAATAAATGTGAAGTCTATTAAAAATGCAGGCTAGTGAAAATTAACGGAAGCCAACCTAAAGCGCGTAGCATTTATCGCATGTCGGGCTGGGAGAGGGCTAGCTCCGGCTGGTCGCAGCTTCACAGATCCTTGCTCGCTTTCTGCGGGGTTGGGTTGTCTCGGTTTCAAAAGCTGCCATGACTCTACTCTCATCACAAGGGCGGGATGCGCCCGTTTCATTCATTCCTCATCCAAGAGCGCTAACAGCTATGAGCCGCTCGCTAGCTAAATGACAAAAGATTTGATGCGATTGCCTTGCTACTATTTTAAAAGATCGTTCTCGCCTTTTCCTTTTGTTGCTATTGCTGAAAGGGCAAGCGCGGAGGAAAACAAAACAAATATATCGAGGAAAGGCTAGGGAGACTATTTCTGTATGACTTGTGCATCAGCCTGAGAAATAATGGCTCACAGTCATTTTCAAACCCATGATTCTTTGGATGTTGACTGGTTTAATCTGCATACTGGCCTTATTAAGTAAGAATTAGTTCTGACTCTTATAAAGCTTGAACACAAATCCAAGTCGAAGAAGCTCCTCGCTGTTGCCAAGTTGGCTCATTAAGGTGGAAAGAGCGAGGTGTCCTTTGGCAAGATAAATCATAATGAATTTCTAATACTGTAAAGTGAATTGCTGGAGCGGTGAACATCCCAAGAATCAACTGTCCTCAGACTCCATTAGTGAGAGAAAAGCACCTAAAACAGGCATTATAAAAGCCACGATGACGAGCTAAGCAGTTTCGATGATCCCTTTTGCTAGTTTTAATTTCATATAATATATTTATTTATAATATATATTAAGCATATTATAAATAAATATAAATTATAATTATATATATATATTTGGGATCATTTTATAACTTCTGTTGTCTAGAGAACCTTGACTAATACAACCTGAAAGCAAGCCAGAAGCATTTGTCCAGTCTCTGAAATGTGAAATATGAGGAAGAGGAGGATAAAGAGATGAAGGAGGAAAATAGGTGGAGGAGGTGGTAAAGGTGGTAGAGGAAAAGAAATGAGGAGGAGGTGATGGGAGTAGAGGAAGTGGAAAAGGAAGACAGGCCAGAAGATAATCCCAGAAACAGAACTCCTGAGTTCTTAGAGGAAGCCACACAGGGTATCTGCCCATTTGTCCTCCTGCTGCCCTGCCCTGTAAGTAAGAGCCACCTTGGAACTTCAGAATCCCAAGACTATAATTTCCTGGGCCTGGTGAACCCAGAGAGCTGGAAACATTGACTTCCCTACAGACCCAGCCTGAGAAAATGGCTCTATAATCCTACACTCGGGCCTCAAACCCCTTAATATTCTAACATTGCTCTTCATTTTCCTTTTTTAAAAAATGTTTTATCCACATATATTAATTATATGCAATAATATGATTCATTATGGCAATTTTATATGTGTACGTAATATGTTTCTATCATATTCATTCCTACTATCCTCTTTTGTGTTCCTCCTCCCAACAGTCCCCTTCTTCTTCCCAATTAGCCCTACTTCTCTTTTCTTCTCTATGGCCCAATGAGTTTCATTAGGGTTGTTTACAGGAGCAGGGAAGAATTTGTTTACAGAACTATGTGCATCTTACCACTGGCTACACCACTAAAGACAATCTCTCTCCTTGCCCCATTACCTGTTCCCTATGGATAAACCACAGACCATGATGGATCTTACAAGCCCCTCCCCTTTCCATGACAGATCTAGGCTTGTAGAGATATTGTGCAGGTCCTCATATTTGCTGTGGATTCAGGAGTGCAGCATCCATGTCATGCCCAGCAGTCGGTGATCCACACTGCTTCCCCATGCCCATTTTCTCTGGCTCTTATATTCTTCTGACTCCTTCCATGATGTTCCCTGAGCTTTGGAGAAGTTGTAGATGTCCCCTTATGACAAGGTTTTCAACAGCGGTTTTTTCTCTAAACTTTGAGTTTCTGAAATCACTACTGACCCTTTTGTTGAGAAACAAAAAGATGTTTCTCTGGCCTGAACCAAAGCTGACAGCATCAGAAATGTAGTCCCTATGAACAGAAACATAGTTATTTAGGAAACAATAAGACAGACACATCCTGTCCATTTAGCAAAACAACAGCAGTAGCTTCCGCATTAGGACACATGACCTCCCTAGCCACTGGCTTTTGACTAAGCATACAGTATCAAACAGGCAGTCTCACCTGTGGAGTAAACTTCAAATCTGTCAGAAAGTTGGTTACCCCCAAAACAGACTTGCCACTATTGTACCAGCTGACTCACCTCACTTAGCCAGTTGATACTTGTAGCTGCAGGCCGCTTGTTCATCTGGGCTGCCCGGCTATCTCAGACCGTAAATAATCACACAGAAACTGTATTAATTAAGTCATTGCTTGGCCCATTAGCTCCAGCTTCTTATTGGCTAACTCTTACATATTAATTTGACCCATTTCTATTGATCTGTGTACCGCCACGTGGCAGTGGCTTAGTAGCAAAGTTTCCAGCATCTGTCCCCAGCAGGCTCCATGGCTTCTCTCTGACTCCACCTTCCTCCTCCCATGCTATAGGCCAAGCCAGTTCTTTATTCATTAACCAATAAAAGTAACACACAGACAGAAGGACCTCCCACACCAGATACTGTGGCACACCGGGTCCACAGCTGAGCAAGATAACTGATGGCAATTCTCTGCCAACAGCACTAAGAAAGAGTATTGTTTCTCAATTTCTCTATCTACTTTTACTGTGTTTTTTCTTTCAGGATCAAGCCAGATAGTTTTTCTGACTGATAAAGGCCAGATGCACTTGTTTCGTTTAGAAGAAGTAAACAGTTGCAATGCAAATTCTTCACTTTTCCATTCTTGGTTACGGTGGGGATTCAGTCAGCCAAGTCTTCCCAGAGATTGTTATTGTCACCATAGTGAAGAAGGCTCATTATTTCTCTGCCACCCTACCCTCAGTGCTACTGCTCTGCCTCTGGGTCACAGACTTCAGCCTGGTCCTTCTCGTTGACTAGCTAGTCCCTAACACAGATCAAACTGTTGATCACATCTGCAAATTCATGACTGCCAACACCCATGCAGAAGAGAATCATTCCTGTCTAATTGTCCCGTAAACTGAAGCCTGGTGATGTGAGACCTGGAGTAAGAGATGAGTCAGTTTCAGACCCAGGTGCTGAATCTCAATTCAGTGTTCCCACAACGGCACAACTTCAGCTTGGAAACTGGGGTAGACAGTAAGGAAAGATCCAGGACCACTTCCAGACGAGTCTGGGGCTTGTGTGAACAGAGGTAAGTCAGCCGACTCCTCGGCAGTCTATGCAAATTATTAAATGAAGCCATACCAGACACAGAAGACAAGCACGCCATGATCCCGCTCCTGAAGAATCTCCAAAGTTGACCTTATTGAAGTCGGTGGTTATGGGAGGCAGGTGAGAATGGGAAGAGGGAGAAGATGGAGAAAGGCTGGTTAACTGGCTCCAAGTCATAGTTAGACAGAAGTAAGGCTTCCAGCTGCACAGTGGGGTAGCTGTGGATAGCAACTACCTGCTGCATATTTCAAAGCGGCAGAAAGGAGTCTCAGGGTTTCCACTACATCAAATAATAAGTGTTCCAGGGGATGTATATAACCCAATTTAAAAATAACACCATGTAAACATGTTCCAAACATCAACTAGTACACCATAAATAGATGCATATTAAAACCGTCATTAAAGACAAAGTTAAACTTAATGAAAATTGGGGAAGAGTTCAAGGGATTCACTTGAACAATATGTATTAAGGCTCTGCCTGAGATTAGAGACATGTGAAAATTGAAAGGGGATTAGAGTTTTTCTAATCTGAAAGAAGGCAAGACGGTGTCTTCCCCCAACATATTCTCATGCTACAGTTGGTTGGTCTGGTCCTCAGAGGAAGCACGCTGACTCTGAAAATGTTGTGTTAACCACATGTTTACAGCATCACTGCCCATCCGACACTAATAGAGAAACAAGACAAACCCGTGACGAGTTACACATGAGGGTCAGCAGTTCCTACGATGGCAGGAGGGGATGGGAGGTCCTGTGCCATGATGGCCTGACTTTCAGAACCACAGCCTGAAGGCCCAATGAGATGGTGATCTCTACTGACAACGTGGCATTGTTTAAAGTCACCTAGAAGACACATGTCTGAGAGTATCAAAGGCATTTCCAAAGAGGTTTAACTGGAAAAGGAAGATTTACTCTGAATGTGGGTAATACCACCACATGGGTTAAGGTCCCTCACTGAAACAGCCAACTGAACATTCTTTCCCAAACCACCTTGTATGCCCAGCAACCACCCAGATATGAGCAAGTTTCTGCTGCCGCACCTCCTACCATGATGAGCCGCTCCCTCACACTGCAAGATGAAATAAATCCTTCTTCCCCTTGATGCTTCTTCTAAGATGTTTATTTTGGTTTGGCTTGGTTTGGTTTTTGGTCTGAACAATAAGACAATCGACCAATCCAGAGATCGGCACCACAATGTGGAGCCATTGTCTACCACTGTTTATCTCGTCCGTGTGATTCACAAGCCTTTGAAACCGGTTTTTTCCAGGAAGAATGGGGAAGATTTTGGAGATATGGCTAGAAAAACTTGAGGCTTCTGGGAACAGAGCTGAGTGGGAGAGTCTGGTGAAGTTCAAAGACCAGGTAGGAATACGTGCAGCAGGACCTGGGTGCTTGGGGTTTCTAACTGAAACAAGGGCCCTCTTGGGAGCCAGAGGCCATTTGTATTGTACTCTGGGAAGGAATCTGAGGATGAGCAGCAAAGCACTGGAGGCAAGGAGAGGCCAGAGAGTGCCTCCTCCCTGTTCCCCAGGGCTGTGATCCTGCTAACACCCTGACTTCAGACATTCAGACTGCAGAAATGAGACAAAACTTAAACCACCTAGCTACAGAAAACTACCAGAGTAGGGGTGTAAGAAACCCAATAAATGGAACTGGAGAGTGGGTTCAGTGGTTAAAATTAGTGGCTGTTCTTTCTTCCAAGTGACTTGGGCTCAATTCCTCACACCCACAGGGCAGCCCACAACCACCTGTCACTCTAATGCGAGGAGCTCTAGTGACAAACTCAGACCTCCAAGGACATCAGGGATGTGTGCGGTACCCAGACGCTCATGCAGGCAAAAACACTCATGCAATAGTAAATATTTTAAAAGAAATAAGAAACCAAATAAGGATGGTGAAATAGCCAGGAACTGGCAACACCGTGGGTCTGAAATGTAGCCGGAAGGAACTTCGCTAAAACCAGGGACTGTGAGAGAGCCATATTCTCGATGGAGGAAGGCAGCTTCTGCCAATACCAGCCCTGCAGAATGAAATCTACATCTCACTTTCTGTTCCTCCAGACTCCCCTCTCCTCCTGAATCTCATTGGCCAAACCAGAGGGGATGCCAAGAAGCAAAGGAAGCAGGTGGATGCAATCCATTAAAGTCAGTCTGCCGGTGAGAACAGTGAACAGCAGACTCACTGCCAAGTCCATAGTCGCCCGCCATCCCTTCTAGCCAGAACCTCTCCTGTGCACCAAGCTCTCCGGCTCTTTCTGTGTCTCCTGGATACTCACCACTGCTGTGATGAAGGGACTGACTATGCAGATAACTCAGTGATAACTGGCTGTGGTGCTCAAACATAAGCGCCATGAGAGAGGAGACCACATCTGTCATTCTTCAGTAAATGTTCAGGGTGGGATACACGGTAGAATGCCTAGACTTATGTACCGAGAGCTAGTCAGCCTGACATGAAAAGACCAAGCGCTAAACCCAGAGAGCTTGCCTTCGGCAGTGAGCACCATTCTACCCTTCCTGGGAACCCTGATGACATACTCTGTAATGACATACAATGTGTCCAACCTCAGCATCCTTCCATTCTTCAGAATTCATGGATAAATAGATATTAGGACCAAGTGAAGGGCAACAGCATTGACTGGAAAGAGCAACTACCATAGGGCAAGCAAACTTGAATTTCCCCAGGGCAGTCTGGTCCCTGTAACATGGGAGGGGTAATCAGTACTTAGGGCATTGTTTTCAACACTGTTATTGGAAATGTAGGTCCTGGATCCACTCAAACGTTGTGGGAGACCCCATTCTTGCTTTCTTATTTGCCATGGACCCAATTCCAAGTTTCTCCTGCGTTCTCTATTTCCTATTATTAATTGACCTGTTTGACCTCAAAGATTACAGTTTCAACTTCCAAAGGGCAAGTTAAAAGAATTCAAACATTCCCCTTTTTAAGGTCAGTGGATATTTAGTTTGTCATAAACTGGGATATAGTGGTGGTATCTTTGCTTTTTAATTGCAACATTTCTCCCTTCCCTTTCCTCCTTCCCAATCTTCCCATATACCCCTCTCCACTTTTCTTCCAATTCAAACCTCCTTTTTCCATCAATTATTATTGTAGGAATATATGTACTTGTATATACATAAATGTTCCTTGTATGTGTGTTTTCAGGACTGACTATTGGCACTGGACAACCAATTGGCATATCTAAAAATTTTATACTGTTTTTCCTAACTCAGCATAGGTGACTCTGAAGAAGGAAGAGGAGGACAGATAATAAACTCAGTGAAGATCAGGAGATGGCTCAGATTGGGAGAGGATGTCTCGCTGAGCTGTGCTTTTACACAAAGGTGAATTATCCTTGCCCAGCTTCGCCCAGAGGGAATTTGCAGCAAGCACAACAATCATTACAGCATCCCCAGTCACTGCACACACATCGATCTCCTCCTTGATGTTTCTTTTGATTGCATTGGAAAAGCCAATGAATCTTCTTTATATTAGCCGTTAACGTCACAGCAAATGGTCCAGCATGTACATCTAATTAAAAATGAAGTAACAATATCAACTTTTACTTCTAGGGAAGGAAATGAAACCTTGCTGCCTCTCTAGTGGCCTGACTTGGTCACACTGCCGATCTTGAAAGAGGTTTGATCATTGCATCACCAGGAGGCAGGCACAGCAAGCCTCCGTGCTTGGAAGGAGATTGCTCTGAGCCAGAGTATAGTGGTGCACACCTGTAATGCCTGCCTTGGGAAGCTGAGAGAAGAGAAAGAAAACTTCAGGGTGTTTCCCTGAATAAAGGGTGAAATGTTCCTATGAGAAAGAGGGAGTGGGACAGCTGTAAACAAGAGCTGACTTTCTCGGGTGCAAGTTTGCCACAGAAAAAGCAGGGTGCGAAAGGGGAAGAGACTCAGGCTGCCAGGGAAGCCCTGTGCGGAACCCCAAGAAGAATCTTATTCCTTGTTCATCTCATCTTCTACAGATTATTCTCAATCCAGAGTTAAAAAAACAAGCAAGATTAAGAAGCCAAGAGGTACTGGGCAGTGGTGGCACACACCTTTAATCCCAGCACTCAGGGGTCAGAGGCAGGCGGATCTCTATGAGTTCAAGGTCAACCTGGTTTACAGAGTGAGTTTCAGGACAGCCAAAGCTACACAGAGAAACCCTGTCTGGAAAAATTTTTTAAAGGAAGAAAGAAAGGAAAGAAGG